AAAATGATTTTTGTTTTTTTTCTAACTATTAAAAAATTAATATAAAATATTAACGTGATTTAAAAGAGTTAGAAGTGGACGGGGGAGAGGGGAAAAAATCCTACTCGTCATCCATCCAATAAATCAAATCAATCAACCGTGCAGCGGCGCAGTCCAACTGTTGGACAAAATTCCCCAAAGAGAAAACGCCCCAAAACAAAGCACCGCCATGGGCAGGAGAGGAGGAGGAGGAGCTCAGAGGGCGCCAAACACCGCATTCGCGTCTACCAATAACATATCACTGAGAGAAGAATTGACCGGGAAAAAGCAGACCAAGGGCGGCTCCTCCATCAATGCCAAGGCCGCGCTGAAGCTCGAGCACTTGCAGAGACTCGCTGTGTGGACTGGCGCGGAGGCTTCTGTACCTTCTCTGGGTGCATTCTTTGGGCGCACCTTGGCCGTTGCCCAAGAGGCCATCGGTGTGCCCCCTGAACCTTCTCTCTTCCCTTGCCAGAGGTATGCAAAAAATCTTTAGATTTTTGATTGACAAACCCCAAAAGAAAAGGAGGGTTTATTGTCTTTGAATTTGGTGTGGTTATAAGTGGATTTAATTACAAATTTAATTGCCTTTTTAGTTCAATTTTGTGGGTTTTGCATGTTGTAGGATTGGTTGTGAAAAAATGGTGGAAGATTTGAATTTCTGTTAGAAAGTGATCATGAACTACTCACTGTTAAGGTGGGATTGTGAACTATTGGTTTCATATGATCATTGTAATATTTTTGTGATTGAAAGTTTGTGCAACTGTTGATTCACTTGCTTTCGTTAATAGTTTTCGGTGTTAAGAGGCTTGCATAGTTTGTAGTAGTTAATTTGTCCCTGATACAAAATTAGCTCTTTGAATGTGGCATGACTTAGAGCTGTGGAGAAAAAGAAACAAGAAAACAGGCTGTTTGCTTTAGTCCCATCCAAGTCGTTTGGATTGGATTGCAATAAAAATTTATAAAACCAACGAGATAGGTTCGTTCTACCAAAATGAACCAAACCAATCCAGCTATAACAGGCATTATTGACTTGCGTATCTTTATAAGGAGTCTTGAGTGTCGTGGGATTGCGTATCTTCTATATGATTTCATAATACAACCTTGTATTTAGCTTAACCATACCTGCTTTCCATAAAGATAATTGATTGTAGTCATGATGCGTACTGAAGTTACATTCCGCCTTGATTAAGCTTAGTGCACCTTAAAGATGGAAATCTTATTGGTTTGGATAGGTTTGAAACTATTTAGCATGGCAATGGGGGTAGCATTTCTTGTCGCGTAGCTAAACGTGTTGGAGTTCTGAAATTCTTAATTGTTACATAGTTATATGGGAACAACATGCATCTAGGATTCACCATCGAAAGTCAGATATATAAACTAAGAAACATCTAATGGAATGTTAGGCTCGAAAGGTGGAGAGAGAATAGGATTATGACTCGTCTAACCTGAAAGCCTAGTCAACTACATGTTTGTTTAGTCTAAATTTTCAGAAAGGTTGTTATTGGTTAACCCATCAACAACAACAAAGTCTTTCCCACTAAGTGGGGTCGGCTATATGAATCCTAGAACACCATTGCGCTCGGTTGTATGTCACATCTTCCGTTAGATCCAAGTACTCTAAGTCTTTTCTTAGAGTCTCTTCCAAAGTCCTTCTATGTCTTCCTCTACCCCTTCAGCCCTAAACCTCTATCCTGTAATCGCATCTTCTAATCAGAGCATCAGTAGGCCTTAGTTTCACATGTCCAAACCACCGTAACCAATTTTCTCATTTTTCCTTCAATTTTAGCTACTCCTACTTTACCTCGGATATCCTCATTCCTAATCTTATCCTTTCTCGTGTGCCCACACATCCAACAAAGTATTCTCATCTCTGCTACACCCATTTTATGTACGTGTTGAGCATCACCACCCAACATTCTGTGCCATAATGTTATTGGTTAACCCATGAATAGATAAAATCCTAACAAAGTTCTCACGACCTGCAATTGCAGGGTTTTCTTTTCCGCGTAACTCATTTTGCATTGTATACTGTATTGGCATGAAACATGAATCTGACTGAGTGTCACACAACAGTGACAACACAAATAAAGAGATTAGTACGTGTTTTGGATTTTATGTCACCTTGAATGTATGTTTTCAAACAAACTGAAGTGCTTTTGAGATAAGCATAGAGCTTAAGTCCCATGACTTCGAATCTGAAATGTGTCAGCCATTACGTTACATGAAAAAAATTATTGGAATCAATTTGTCTTTGGATGTGTGTAATGTGTGTTGTAGCCTTGTAGGTTTTATAATTTTGGACAATATACATTTTGAAATGAATGATACTATAAAGTATATTAAAAGGTACAAACACGTAATCAGTGTTTCACTATTTTGCAGATGTGAAACAGTTCTTCAGCCTGGCTTCAACTGCACTGTTCGAATTGAGAAAAATAGAGCAAAGGTACGACAACGAAGTAAGAAGATTACTAATTTCTCTCAAAACAATGTAGTGTATACATGCCACTTCTGTTCACACCGGAATGTGAAGAGAGGGACTCCGAATGGACATATGAAAATGATATGCCCCCCTAAGGCCAAAACAACTTCGAATCTGAAACTTAAGTCCTTCTCCAAGAAGTTTATCAACTTAAAGGAGATCACAGCAGGTGATGAGGTTAGTAAAGCAGAGGAGATAGCTCCTTCCGCAGGCAGAGAGATTCCTGCAGTCAACACTCCTGCTGGCGAAGGCGAGGTTAGTAGAGCGAATGAAATAGCTCCTTCAGCAGGCATAGAGATTCCTAGCGTGGATACTCCTGCAACTCCAACGGTGAAGACTGGAATTGCTTTGTTGTTGGGAGGGAAGAAGAGAAGGAGAAACAATTCGGCGACCAAGAAACCAGCTGAACCTGATAGCAGTCCCACCTCAATAGCTGAAAACACGACTGGCACGTCAAACAAACGGAGGAGAAAATCATGGACCAGTTTGAAGGAGATTGCTATACGCAGTGATCACAATAACATCCGAAAAATCAGTTTGATTTGACAATCCCTTTCGATGGCCCAGGAGTGCATAATAATTTTGTATTTCGGTAGATCAAATTTCGAATGATATGAAATAGCATGTTGATTTTTTGATTGAATGAGAAGGGAGTTTGCCTGAAATGAAGCCTGCTGCACGATAAGAACCCACTGAATTATGCAACTGAGTTGTTCCGAGTCGACTAGGAGGAGACATAAAGCAAAGCAGGACAAAGATAGAAATTTAGGAGTCGTTTGATAATTATTTGTATTTTTTTATTGTAGTTTTCAAAGTGAAAACGACTTGAAATAGTTTTTTTATTTGCTTTTTGTGTAACCCTTATTTATTTATTTATCTCGTCTACCATTTTTCCTCTGCTTTTCTTCATTTCTTCCTTATGTCGGATATTTTTCCATTCACAAGCACAAAATGTGAAAAAATAAAATTTAAAAACAAAATAGTTATCAAACAGAAAAACAACTAACTCATCGTATTACGGTATTAGTTTTAAATCATGTTAGTAATCTAACAATTGTTTATTATTTTATTTTTACTCAAATTTTTGTTAACAAGTGGGCCCTAGTAATGGGAGCATTTTTGCTCACCACCCTATTTATTATCATTAGATGAGTTTGAATTTTGAGATTTGTGTTTATCCACTACACGAATCTCAAAATTCACACTCATCTAACGGTGATTAATAAGGTGGTTAGCATACACCACACTAAATGGTGGTGAGCAAAAATACGCTCCGCTAGTAATATTGTGGTTTAAATTCACCATTGACGAGACTCGAATTTAAAACTTCTCATTTACAAGTGAAGAGAAATACCACTAAATTGTAGTAGTGACAAAACATATAGAAAATATTGTGCTAATGAATTGTACATCCAAGATGATAAGGGTATAATTGTGAGAGATTTTAAATTCGATTCTTGTCAAATACGAATTTGAATCACATTATCACATTATCCTTTGTTAAAAAAATAAAAAATAAAAAGACGATAAGGGTACAATCGGTACAACTCTCAAGCAAGGAGAGCACCCTCATTTCTAAGGGTGGGCGCGATGCGGTTTCAAGTGAAACCGCAACCACAACTGAAACCAAAATTTTTTGCGATGCGGTTCGGTGCGGTTTTGAAGCCAAAACCGAAATGAAACCAAACCGTTTGGTTTAGTTTGGTGTGGTTTCAAACGGTTTCGATTCGGTTTTTTAGAAAAAAAAAATATATACAATTTAAAATATACACCTATTTACGCATAAGACGGTCTTATTTTCCTCATATATTAATTAATGAACTTGGAGCAAAAATGACAACAACAATGCAGCAAAACTGCAACAAAAAACAGCGGCAAAACTGCATAAAAATTGAACAAGCTCGTATAAGTTCTGAGAAATTATTAATTCTAGCTTGTTGATTATAAACCTCTGTCCTATGATAATTTTTCTTTAAACAGTATGCAGGTTGACAAATAAGCTGCTCTCGCAAGAGAAGCACCTTCGTGATCAACCCTCATCATCAAGGAAACCAATGGCAAATTAAGTATGACTTGTATCAAATTGTGAATACTTTGTGATGCATGTTAGTATGAATAGAAGTATCGCAAATAAATCACTTTGAGGCAGCTTTGATGACATGAAAATAAAAACTTATGTAACAAAATCTAATTGAGATAGAATTAGAAAACATACCAAATTAGAAAATCTAATTGATGTCGACTGTGGAAGGGATGAAGATGAGTTTTGAGAGAGAGAGAGAGAGATGAATATGGTGATTCGAATAGTGTAGTTGAACTAATTAAAAGTTAAAACATAACATTCAAAATATATGGCGGTTTCGGTGCGGTTTTGAAAACCCAAAATCAAAACCAAACTATTTTCTTTGCCACGGTTCAATTTCGAAACTACAATTGTTTCAAAACCACAAAACCAAACCGTTCGATGCGATCCGATTCAATTCGTGTTTCGATTTTGATTTTCGGTTCCAAGTGCCCACCCTACTCATTTCTTGCTCTCGGTGTTAATCCCAACGAACCCCCACGTATATTCTCCAATATACAAGTAGTCGCTACAGTGGCAAATCCGATATTCCGTCAAAGTACGGATCCGTTTTCGCATCCCAAATGGCGTCCGTATAAATACCGCAACGACCCACGTCATCGTCCTCAGAGCTCCCTGGTCTGAGACATAGCAGAGAGAGCGAGAGACGAGCCCTTGACAAGCAGGCTACCAAAACGGAGCGTTTCGCCTGGAAGAAATGGGGAATAGGAGGTTCGCGCAGGTCTCTACGAGCGACGACGAAGACGACGACGTCTCGCCGCGGAACCACCAGCAGACGGCGCGGGAGACGTCGTCGCGGAAGAGGAAGCAGGTGAAGATTCGAGAAGGGGACGACGAAGAGTCGGAGGAGGAAGAGAAGCAGAAGAGTAAGAAGAGGAGGGGAGGGAAGGAGAAAGAGGCCGAAACAGCATCTGGCAGCGAAGACGAGGAGGAGGAGCCACACATTGAGGACGCGAAGCCGATTGGCGAGGTGGTTAAGCTTTCCGGGAAGGGAAGGGGGCGGAGGCAGCACTACAAGGCGTTTGAGTACGACGGGAACCGATTTGACCTGGTCAGTTTTCGTTTTCTGGTCGGGTGTTGTGATTTTGTGTTTGTTGGTTGGGTTTTAGGGTTCTGATTTTTTTGGCATTGTTTGATTAATTTGTTCAAATTGCAGAATTATTAGAATTATGAAATTTGGGTACTTTGTTGTTTTTGTGTATCTTGAAATTTTTGGTTTTGATTATTGGGTTTGTAAGGTTTGGTGAATTGGGTTTTCGTTTCGTTCTTTTTGGTGGAATTTTTGTTGGTTTTGATTCATTGCTGCACAGTAGGAAAAATTTACACTTTATTTGTGTAGAAAATGTTGCTGTTTAAGCTGGCATTGTGGTGTCATTTACTTTTGGAACTTCTCTGTCCCTTTGTTGGTCAATTCAAGAAATGATAGAATTGCGACAAATTTACTGTCAAATTTTCCAAAGAGGGAATGATTGAGTTTTGTATGCAGACAAACACGTTGTTGTCATCTTCTTGTGACTAGAGAGGCAATTGAATGTTCTGGAAATTTTGTCTATTACTATAAACACAGCCCCTATTTTTCCCTTTTTTTTTTTGGACATTTTATATGTTTCCCCTCCCGGATAAATTTCTACATGCAATTTGTAGTGTAAAAGTAATTTTGCATGTTGGATTCTGAACCAGAAAATGTTACGATGTTGAAGCAAATAGGTCCTCAGCTGATTGCTATGGAAACATGGGATGAGTGCAGCTCTGGATACATGAAAGCTTTCAGATTTGAGTGTTTTTTTTATAGACTTTCTGTGTTTTGAGTTTCCAGCAGCCATACTCTTCTTGTCCCTTGACAAGAAGATGCTGTAAAAATTCAAATTACGTGTCTATGTAAAGATTTTTCATTGAATATCTCTTCCTTCTGTTTCTTGCTGTTGGTATAATGTATGCTTTTGTACATGCAGAAATAATTCTCATAAAGTGTTTCATGTTAATGTAATATTTCTATATAGCTTTATGCTCAGGATGTTTGACAAATGTTGTTGTCACTTGAACTTCTGTGTACCTGATGGTTTTGTGTACTGCCTTTTTTTTTTTTTTTCTTTCCCCTTATTGATATCGTGTGACACAACCAAGCTCAATGGTGTTCTAACATTCATACCGCCGACCCAACTTAGTGGGATAAGGCTTTGTTGTTGCTGCTGCTGTTGTTGATATCGTGTGACAGGTGCTTGTTTATATATAATTTTCAAATGGTTTAGATTTGAAAAGTCCATTTATTTGATTCATATACCCTAGGTTCTGAATACCTCTAGATTTTTCATATGAGGTATTAGTTCGTTTATTTCATTTAATGTTTCACGCTGATCATGTAGTCACTCTGTAGGAGGATCCGGTTCTTCTAACTCCTGAGGATACAAGACAAAAGCCTTATGTGGCAATTATCAAGGTACTTGCTTTATGAAATCATATTATCACTTTTGTCTATGGATATTATTTTTTATTCTTTTAAACATTTTGCCTTTCACATTGTTCAATGTATTTACGTTTCATTACTTGAGGCCCAAGTTTCTAAAATTTATAGTAGATCAGAGGTGAAATTCAGGTTATGATTAGTTGTTCAGATTGTGAAACATGGCTACTTTTTAGTAAGTAAGGTGGTGAAAATTTGATGTCTTTTTGGTTGAAAACAACTAACTATAGGGGTTTTTATATGATGAAGGTTTCCATGATCGGGTCACCTACTTTTCTTATAGTAGATGTTGATTTAAGATCACGTTGAGAAAACAACTAAACTATTAGCAGGTGTGCATTTTGTGGCCAAGGGACATGTATAGATATAACAAAGATATAGGGGTTACATATACATCCAGACATTCTCAAATACAGGCTAACTGCGTGGTGATAAGCATGTTGATTGCTTCATGTATTGTTATTCACTTTTACCCTGTGATTCACTTTATCCTCACCTTTGACCATTTAAATATAGGGAATTTTAACGAAACACTCCCTGTACTGCTCACTTTTAACGAAAAACCACATTTTTACTTTCCCTGGTACTATTCACTACACCTTTGTTTGTCCTTTCTCATTAAAACTAAAGTTTTTTTGGACTTTTCGTTAGTTTTCCTTTAAATATATATACCTTTTGCTCAAATATTTTGCCTTGAAATTCTTGGCATGGTGGTCTGTGTTCTATTAAACTTTTTGGTGGCTTCTTGATTGTGAAGTTATGGGCAGCAGATTTGCTTTCTATCTTTTTCTTTGTAAGCAGTTATTCTCTTTCAACTCCTTCATATTCATAATGACTTTATCATTAATTTTCTGACTGCTGGAACTGGGGATTAATTAGGATATAAGTAGGACTGGAGGTGGGAGCATGATGGTATTAGGACAGTGGTTTTATCGTCCTGAAGAGGCAGAGAAAAAAGCTGGGGGAAACTGGCAGTCAACTGATACAAGGGAGTTGTTTTATAGTTTCCATCGTGATGAGGTTCCTGCAGAATCTGTAATGCATAAATGTTTGGTGCATTTTGTTCCATTAAACAAACAGCTGCCAAGTCGTAAACAGCATCCTGGCTTCATTGTGCAAAAGGTGTATGATACCCAAGGGAAAAAACTCTGGAAGCTGACAGATAGAGACTATGAAGAGGATAAGCAACATGAGATTGACTTGTTAGTTCAGAAAACTATTAAACTATTGGGAGAACTTCCTGATATAGAGATTGCAGATAACACTGGTTATCAGGATGATCATTTGAAGACTAAAAGTGGTCAATTTAAAAAGAATATATCACCCCTTGACGTTTCTAGGGTGGAAGAAGCAACTGCTAGGCCTGGCCAAAATAAAAAAGCTGAAACACCTGGAAGCTGCTCAACAAGTAACCCAGAATATCATTCCATATTAGCCAAGTCCATGGCACTAACTGGAGACACGCTACGTGACAGATGGATGGAGAAACTTCTTCAAAATATTCGGCACCATGTATGCAACTCTGCTGACACCACGAATGGTGTTGAAAAGAGAAAATCTGATTCTGATGATATTGATCATGAAAGTGACCATAAGTCCACAGAAGTTGGGAATGGATCTCAGGATAATCTCAAGGTATGCAATTCACCCTCAGTTTGGCAGCTCTATATTTATCCTTTGGTTTGTTTGACGAAGGGGGTGCACTGGAAATCAGGAGTGGAGTATCGGAGATGTTATAACTCACTTGTTAACTTTACTGTATTATTCAGAGTGGCAACACGTCTTTTCTCTGGCCAGAGGATGCTGTTCGTGCAGTTACTTCTCTAGAGAAGGCCTCGCATGAATCTCTCTCCTCTGATTTCCAAAAGTATAACCAGAAGTTGCGGCAACTGGGATTCAATCTCCAGGTCAGAAGGTTCTGTATGTTTGTATGCTCATGGTCATGCATATGCGTGCAGATAACATATTCTTGAAAAGACCTTCCAACTGTGTTATAAAGAACAATGCATTTTTGCATTAAAAAAAAAAAAAAACACTATTTTTGGTTTGTTTGAGGTCCGACCTTCTTTTCTTCTTCAAATGTCTTTTTTCTCTCCTTGTTTTGTTCTTATATTTATTCTCCTCTTGGCAGAAAAATTCGTTCCTAGCCCGTCGTCTGCTAAATCAAGAATTGGAACCTTTAACAATAGTGAACATGTCACCTGATGAGTTAAAGGTATGGTCTTTATCATGGCTTGATTTATGGGTGGTTCATTTTTGTGATGATTCTCAAGGAAGATTAATTATTCGATTTTGATCAGATTCAGTTTCCTTTAGCTGCTTTTGGTCTCACTGGACATATTTGTAACATCTTTGCAGACTAATTCTTCCTTTTTAGCCTAACTTACTGTTTGCTAATTTAGGAGGGATGGAAGTATGTATGCCAGCAGCACGAGTGGACACATGTCTCTTATATCTTTGGATGTTGTCATTTTTTTCCTTCCTTTCTTTTCATGTCCATGTAAGGTTTTTATCAGAGAAAAGTTTGTTAAGGCTGTTCAACTGGTGGGGAGCATTTGTCGAGGAAAGTGAAAGATCATGGATATGTTTGATATTTGGGTGTTTGGGTTGAAATGGGTTATTCATAGAAAATCTGTTGGTACTTTTAGCTTTAGATCCAACTAGTCTTCACAGCAGATAGCCATAGAAAAATTGGTGGTACTCTTAGCTTTTAGGTTCTGCATGTTGATTTGTTTGCTTTTAAAATCAAGGAACTTCAATTCCTTTTGTGGAAGCAAAAACATGCTTAGTGAAGAATTTGTCCATAACATCTAAAGAGGTCTAATATTTTCACGAGTGCTCCTAGTTTTTCATTAAAGATGACAATTTCCTGGGACGATTTGGTCATCTGAAACAAACTTCTACTTGTTCAAGACAGATAAATTTAATGAAAGGTGACCTATTATGGGCACAGAAATTCATGTAAACTATTTCATTTCTGTTGAATTAAGGTGTGTTCGAGTTGGTTTTTCTTTTATTTGGCGTATTTTCGATAAAGTTCATAAGATCTAAAGAGTAACTTTGTGGATGTTTATATGTGGAATGAATACATTAGTTTCAGGTGAAAGATGTAGAGTCAAGATTGCTTCAGCAATTCTCTTGGTATTTATGCCTTAGATGGGAGTCTGGGACTAGGCTTACTTGTTCACTTTTTCTCTCATTTTGTATGAAGGTCTCAGTTGAGAATAGAATAAAATGCGTCTGTGCTTCCCTCTGCCCTGGGTTGAGTTTGGCCTCTTGACATGATACGTTTTGAGTATCCATGTATGATCAGACAAGATGTAGTTGCAATGGCCAACTCTTGGTGTACGCAAAAGGGATAATACTATAATTGCTCTTGCTTTCATGGTTTTTATTTCAGGAGGGTTTAACAGCTGTGGAGAGAGCAAAGAAGGAGCCTGATGATTGGGAGCGTATGCAGGTGATTTTATTTGTACCCGTAGTCGGTTTTGAGTACCTTGCACTCTGCAGTATATACGTTCTGTGCCCGTTGTTGATTTCTTGCCTGTGAAACAGATGACTGATGCTCGTTGCTCAAGATGCTCGGAGTTCAAAGTGGGAGTTAGGGACATTATTCAAGCAGGAAATAGTGCTCGCTATCAGGTTTGTGCATATAGAGATTAATATATGATATGGTCACCAACCAGAGTCTGAAGGCAAGTGGCAATTGCTTTTGCCTCTACATTTTTCTTTTTAAACTGGGATTATACACTGTTGGGAGCATACAAAATAACGGGTAATGTTTGAGGACTAAGTCTGGTGTGCAATAGTCCAGGTCCGACGAAAATACCAAAAAGAAAAGATGTCTCTGGTATCATACCAACAGCGGAGTAGGGGTTAAGTTGAGTAATCTGAAAGTCTTACCTACTGTCTAGACTCTACAGGCAAGCATCAACTATGGGTTGGTGGGCACTGATTTTGCTTGTCAAATCTACTTTTCCCATTAAATTATAACGTTGGATATCTCGCATGTATCAAAGCCTATGATCAGCTTAATTATACATTGTGATCACTACATCAGTTGTTCTATTTGGTTTCTTATGTTGCCTTGTACCGCCCCTAATTTTGCCAAGGTGTTCGGCATTGCTGGCTACATTCAAAGTTTGAATTGCATACCTCAGTCCCTAAACTTAGCTGTATTCTGACTAAAAGTAGGTGATGATGATGCATGAAAGACGTTTGTACATTATCTCTATCTACCAAATTTTTCTGGTTCTGGCAAAGTATCATTGAGTTCTCTTTCCAGTATTTGATTTTTTTTTTTCACTAAAAGATGATATCGCCATGGTTGTCTGTAGCCTCATTTGCTTTTCAGTCCCTAAGCTTAATGCATGAACGTTGTTTCAAGGGTAATTTAGATTGTAACAGCTACATCATTTGTTTCCTTCTTGCAAACGGAATTTACTTTCTCATTCATTTTTCAGCTGGAGTGTATTTCCTGTGGTCATTCATGGTATGCCGCCCGGGATGCGGTTTCAATGCTCACAATTGACGCGCCCAGTTCTAACAAGCACGTGGGGACGGCTCCTTTGGCCACCGCCAAGTTCGAAGACGTTGAGAAGAAGCTGGCGAGCCCTCGTGAGTCTGACAAGGCAACCAAGGACACTGTAAGAAACACAACTGAAGCCTGTATGCCGGTCTTGGAAGCGCAAAGATCATTTAGTAAGTCTAAAAAGGAAGAAAATTCTGAATCTGCAAAGAAACCTGAGTAGAAATGCGGCGTTTGTCATAATTTTTGGATCTGGAAAGTTTAGGTTGATGGATTATCCACGGAATGCAGCCTTGGTAGTTTTGTACAGCCTGCATGTGCATATGTTAATCCATGGTTTCTTTCCCAGACTTGAGAGAATAGATTTAACCAAGTTAAAGCGGTTTCCTTGCGTAGGATGTTCTGAGGCCTCGGGACAGGGTTTAGGATAAGATAAGTTTGACATGATCATGAGCCCCTTTTTTGTATCTGGTGCTGATGCTCCAAAGATAGAATACGCTGAACGACCGGACAAGTAAAGGAGATAGATGCATTATACCTTTTTTGTATCTGCTGTTGAAATTGTTTTCAAGTCTAGTGTAGTGCCTATATTGTTATCAAGGATTCATGTGTGTGTGTAATTAATAAAAGGCAGCTAATTCGACTCCTTGTTCCCCCCAGCAGGGCCCCTCCCTCTCCAGTGGTATATTTCTTCATTTACAAGTGAGAGGGCTTAGGTTCAATTCTCGCTAAAGGTGAATTTGAACTGCATTATTGCTAGCTCATTGTAAGACTTAGTCTACCTCTCGTCCCCTTAGTGTAGACACTATCATTTATTAAAAAAAAAAAAAAAACATTTCTCCCATTCATAGTTCACTCAATCCCCAATCTCTAATTCCTCAAACCCTAAATTCTCAATCCCCATTCTGTATTTATTTCAATTTTACCCAATCTCATACATCAATTTGTTTCAAAATTCTCCACACCACCAAATTTGTTTCAACATTCAAGTTTTTTAGCATTCTAATCTCACTTTGGTTGCTAGTCAGTTTGATTGCCGTTTGATTTTGATTATTTTTTTTTTTTTACAAATTATTATATTATATACACAATTATATATTATTAAAAATTTTAAGTCTTGTAAAGCTTAGCATCACGCCTCAAGACTTTTGCCTAGGCGGAGCTATTCATGACACGCCTCGCCTCTACGGCCTTTTAAAGTATTGCAATCACCAATAATCCTTTGAAGCACCTCCACCACAAGTTGAAACATAACAATAATACTATGTACCATAATGTCAGTTTCAATATATATTACAAGGACACATGAGATTATTCTCTTGATTGAACACTTTATCACACAAATATCAAGAGCTTTCTTAAATTGTTATTATTGTTTCTCTTTAAATGCATAACGACGCTTACACAATAATCCAATAATATTAACCAAACTACTAGTCGTTGCAAAGAAAGTGGCAACGTCATCATTTTCCTTTGCTAGGGCTAGAAGAGCTAGTTGAAGTTGGTGAGCCAAACAATGAACATAAAATATTTAAGGATATTTGTTCAAAATATTTGTTTTAAGAGCATTTAGCTCTTTGTTATAACAAACAACCTCTCAATAGCCTCTGCAAGTTTGCTAGTAGTTGTATAGGAGACATGTTGAAGATCCAAAAACCTTTCAATTACTTCTCCTCTTTTGTTCACATAAAGCAGAATCTTTTTGTTGTGTTATACTTCAACCACTCAAATAAATCAGATCAATGGGTGATAAAACATTGATTGGCCTTCCCTATAACTTTTTGTGGTGCTTTGTGGGTTTAAGGTTGACAAGGATCCTTTTGTAGATAGTGTCTCCAAATTGTTTTACAATAATTAGGCTTACAATCACTCATTCAAGGTCTAAGTCCAGCATCTATAGGAAGATTAACAAATATTTCATTCAACTCAACGACATTACTTTATTGTGAACTAGCAGTAATATCCGAAAGAGGATTTGGACTAATTGAAATATTTGAAGGAGGATTTGGATTACTCGAAATATTCGAAGGAGAATTTGGACTAACCATAGTATTTGAAGGAGGATTTAAGCACTGTTTCTTATAATATTGTTCTTTTACGATGACATGCCTGATTGTTTGTCTAGAATCAATATCAACTTTTGTGTGTGTAATGGGGGACGAGTGATCTTCTTGTTTTGTTATACTTTTTTAGAACTAGCAAAACGCTGCCGTTTTGACTTGGTTTTTTTTTTTTTTCAATAAAAGGCTCCCCCAATCGTCGAAAATCTCCATGAAGAGCGGAGGAGGAGATTTCTGACGACCGGAGAGGCGAACACCCTCCTTGGGCTGCTGTTGCTAGTGGAAAACAATAATATCTATGCGCACAGGTGCAGGTTTGATCCCTTGATCTCCCTATCCCTAATAACTTACAATTTGCATAATCCAAAGTCTATTTCAAATTTACAGTTTATACTACTTTCTAATTAGTAGGTAATTAGCAATAAAAAATAAGAACAAAAGTTGGCTTAAAATAGAAAAAATGGGATTTACTTGAGTTGAGTCCAAGATTCCATGGGTTTGATGTGACGGACCGACCGCTTGAGATCTTTTAGTTCCCGCCTAAACCCAATCATATGCACACACATTTACCATTTTCTCCTTTACCTTTGGGGTCCATGCTTTTCCCATTCCCCAACAGTACCAAATGTACGACACTGCCCATTTTACCATTGACTCACTTGTGTTTTTTTCCTCAAAGGACCACTTGACAAAAACAAAGTACTCAAGAAACATCAAATTATACTATACAAATTATATCATATGACGTTTTACTATTGTGAAGAAAATTAATTATGTCTATACATCTTAATGTGAGTTCAATTTCCGATGATTTTTTTTCTTTTGACAATTAATTAATGGCTAAATCGCCAAAATGGTCTCTAAGATTTCAAATCAATAGAAATGGTTCCTGAGATTGACACATACTTTGATCCCTGAGATTTCAAATTAATAGAAATGGTCTATGAGATTGTCCACCATCCATCATTTTGGTCATTCCATTAAAAACTCCGTTAAGTGTCCCGAAGCTCTTGGTCGGAAGTTTGGGCAATTTTCAAAGCTTCGTAACTTAATCGTTTCTTAACCAAATTCGACCAATAATATATCAAAATGAAGATAGGAAAGTGCATAATAAGATTATACCTATTTGGAAGCCCAATGGTTTCCGGAGATGGCTGGAAAATAGCCTCAAAGTTGACAGGTCGAAGAGAAAACTGGAAAACTCGCCAGAAACTAGGTAAACTTTAAACGTTCATAACTTCTTCAATACTCAATGAAATCAAGTGATTCAAAAATAAAAATCATACTTCTCGACAATACGAAGAGTGGTACCTTTTTTGATGGCTAAATCTCTGTGGTTTGGCCGGAAAACGGCTCAAAAGTGGCTATCTTGGTCTCGAGTTACCCACTTTTGAGCCGTTTTCCTACCAAGCCAAGGCAAGTTGGCCATAAAAAAAAAAAGGTACCATTCTCTTCATCTCATTGAGAAGTATGATTTTCATTTTTGAATCACTTGATTTTGTTGAGTATTTAAGAAGTTATGAACGTTTAAAATTTACCCAGTTTCCGGTGAGTTTTCCAGTTTCCCCTCGGACCAGTCAACTTTGACGCTATTTTCCTGCCATCTCTGGCAACCATTGGGCTTCCAAATAGGTATAATCTTATTCTACACTTTCTTATCTTCATTTTGATATACTATGGGTCGAATTTGATTAAGAAACGATTGAGTTACGAAACTTTGAAAATTGCCCAAACTTCCGGCCTAGAGCTCCGGGACACTTAACGGAGTTTTTAACGGAATGACCAAAATGATGAATGGTGGACAAT